ATCTCATTAGTCAATTTCATTTCTGAAATTTTCATTTTAAACGATTCAGAATTGCCCAAAACGCTTACCCTTGCGGTACTAGTTTTTGAGCTATTTCCCGCTTTAACTTGCTTGGAAAAATCCTATTTCAGAAACTATTGCTATTTTCCTTACTTATAATATTTCTACTCTTTTTCTAACTTGTCATTTGGTCACATACCAAATATTTCAGTTTTTCATTATTAAAATATACCCGCTAAAATTTCTAATTTTTAACTGATATTTCACTATTCATAACTGATATTTACAAATTTCCTCTGTAGCAATATTCGTATTATAACTTTACACATTTCGGAAAATTTTACCCCGTACATAAAGTTTATACATAACATTTTCTTGATCAAATAAAAAATTCTACTACTTTTTATTTCAAAAAGAATTACGGTCAAATGTCAGACTATTCGGATTAGACCTAAATTTTCCTAGTTGTTACAGATCTGGTGTAAGGGCTTCTCCAGCCCTGCACTAGAGCTTTGCGCCAACGTGTCAGAGCTGGCGCAAAGCTACAGTGCCTTACCACAACGCTAGTTGACGCTGTGATTTCTTTTCTTTTTTTGCTTTTCTTTTTAATTAGTTTACCAAATGTTTTTTAAAATTCTTATTTTGTTCCCAAGTTTATAATTTTGAGTCAATTTTCTTCCATTTTGCCACCAAAGAAACAAAAACTACTCTTTTTTATTCCAGTTTTCAATTTTTATGATTTTGGTTAAATCAATTTTTTTAGTTAACATGTACAATGCAAAAACTAAATTACATGCAATCATAAATTAAAAAACAAACATTAATACATAAATGCATAAATAAGAAAAACATAATGTTACACTAAAATAAAATAAAGTTAACACTAATATTAACCAAACTTAACGCTAATATTACATTAAAATAAAAAAGACTTCACTATAATTAACTTATTAATAATATTTATTTATGTTTTATTATTAAATGTACTGTTTGGTTCTTAAAGATTTTTAGTTAATGTAATTAGGAATTATATAAAAAAAATTATAAAAAAGAATATATTGAGAATATTCCTTGTAGAGTAAAGTTTAAAGTAAATAAGTTGGAGATGAACCTCTCGTTACTCTATTTTAGAGATAGAATAACTCTAAAATAGAGTGAATTGAAGATGGCCTAAGAGAATATTCTACGTGCAAGTTTTAGACTATAAGGATTCTCGTAAGTTTCTTTTATATATAAATATGTATATTAATTATATTTTCTTTGTTATTATGTTAATGTGATTTGACATTTAAAAGACATATGTAAAATCAAGAAATGTTAGGGTTATTTGTGTTATCATTCTTTTTATCACTCTCATACTTCTCGTACCATTACACCTATCGTTACATGTCAATTCATTTCTCTATGAAAGTGAAACATGATTCTAAACCGTTGTTTTACCTCTTAATCACAACTATACCATTCGTTCATATTATAAAATTCTTTTATAGCATATTACTCACTTATTCTTTATTATTTCATACGTTTTTTTTGCTGAATTATTATTTCATAAATTACGACCCGCAAGCTATCAAGAGCTTGCGGCTCATTTCAAATACATTTGAGTCGTTTTGATAAGTTGTTGCTAGATTTAAGAGGCTGCGGACTCAATGAGTAGTCTAATCTCTGTTGGACACTCATTTAACAGTCCGCGACCTGTGAGATGTTGACAGCTCGCAACCAAGTCTAGAGGTCGACTCTATGATTGAGCCTAATTCTCTGAGACGTGTGTTGACATGTGCATGTTAAGAAATGATATATAAAATTTGGCCTCAACAACTATAAAATATGCACGTTATATATATATATATTCTCATAAAAGGGACGCAATACATAGTACTGTATAACGTATACGTATACATAATATATAGATCTAGTAAAAAAAATAATAATTCCCAACTTTTAAAGATGACGAGAAAAAGGGAATAAAATAAAAAAGCAACGACATACAGTAAAATTATAAAGAAAGATGAAATGAGCAATAATGGAATTTTATGATATTAAAGAGTGGTATGGTTATAATTGAGAGATAAACATAATAGTTTATAATTATGCTTTGTTTTTATAGAGAAGTGGGATGACGCATAGCATAAAGAAAAGTAAGAGGGTGACAACAAAAGTGACAAAAGAAGAAGTGAGTCAAGTGACTATTATTTCTCAGACAAAACCGGTACAGAAAATTTCAATAGTAGATACGTGTCCTATTGGTACCAATGGCTAACCCCCTTGAGATGGAAGGATGAAACCACTAGAGAACTTTGTCAAGATCAAGATCGAAATATATCGTCGGTTGACCTCGAACTAATTTAGGTCTCATTTACTTTACGGATTTGGGTTTTTAATTCGAGTTAAGATGTGATATTTTGTGAAAATTTTATATTGTAACAGAAAAAATTAGATGTGATATTTTCTGAGAGTTTTTTACTATAAAAATTTAAAAGTAAAAACTCAAATCGGTGATATAAACGAGACCTTAAAGATCAAGATGAAAAGACTCGAGGTTCGATCTCGAGTCAATCACTAGTGCAAAGCCCAACCTCGACGCTAGAATAGCATCATTTCAAGGTTTTGCTTTGAATAGAACAAATAAAAAAGACATGTTTCATGATTCAAGAAAGGAATATCAAGGAATTTTCCTTAGTTTTTTTTTTTTTTTTTTAAATGGAGAAATTCCGTAATATTATTTGAAATCCTAGACAATTGATTACCTCACCTAAATAGAACATTTTGTTCCATATTTTAAATACTCTATTCTCTTATCAATACTTTGTTACTAATTAATCTTAAAAGTATGTATTTGCCTAAATAGAGCTCGGCACCTCTCATTATCTCTCACGGTGAGAAATAATTTGAGAACGACTGAAAATAACAGAGTAGATAGATGAGCATTGATGTTGAGAAATCCACACCAACAATTTGGACAACACTAGCCACACTTTCTTCAAACCCGGCTCTCAAGGGATTCATTTAACCGATTAGAGTTTAGAATTTGAGTTTTGCTACAGTAAAAAGCTCTTAAAAATAATCACATCTAACTTTTTTACTACAGTAAAATTTTTTTACATAAAATCACATCTCAACTCGAATCAGTGAACTAAACGGACCCATAAAAACACGTGGATGGCACATGAAACTCATCGTCCTATTGGTACCAATGGCTACAAAAAGTAATTTGTATTGGGGAATTTTCCCACAAATATCAAGAGTGTGACACGTGTCCTATTGGTACCAATGGCTAACCCCCTTGAGATAGAAGGATGAAAATAATTGGTTCGAGGTCACCTATGATTCGTTTGTGTTATTTCTCTAAATTAGTAGATAAAAATAATGGTCAAATATGAGTTCACATAAAAATTGTTCAAAAAGTCTTCAATAGTTTCGTTTTTGAAGAATGAGTGTTAGTTAACAGCTATGTTAAAGTTAAAATTGGAGTAGGATGAAATGTTCTTGAGCAAATTTGTCCGTTTAGGCGATAAAAATATTTGAAGTTTTCATAAACGAATTTTGTGGGATGAAGAGAAGGATGACATCATTATGATGCTCCTGCATATAGATGGCATCCAGCTTGAAGATGGATATAAATCCACTTCGTGATCAATTTCATCGATAGATCTAAGGCCTCGTTCACTTCACCGATTTGAGTTTTGTTACAGTAAAAAGTTCTCAGAAACAGTCACATTTAACTTTTTTACTATAGTAAAAAGTTCTCACATAAAATCACATTTCAACTCGAATTATAAACTCGAATCAGCGAAGTGAACTAGCCAGCAAATCTTAATCTCTGTTTTACAAATAATTGACCCAATTGAGTGAGATTTGAAGCTTAAAGGTTGGATTCTTTGTTAGGATGATCACTCATTAGGAAAAATAGATAGATGATGGTGGCCATGTAGAAAAAGAAAGATACTATAAAGCAACTATTGTAGAACTACTATAAATGACATGAATAATATAAGAAAATTGCAAGGTAAAAATAGGAGGTTGCCTCATCTTATAGCTAAGGAAGTGTCTCACCTTTCACATCCCAACAATGTGGGACTCTTCCCATATTAATTTGTTACTTTAATTTTCCCTAAGGTAGTTTAGTGTGCAGTAATATGAGACACGAAAATACTAATCAAAATCTCATATTTGGTATTATTATTATTGGAGTTTTATTAAACTCAAAAAAGTGAAACACATTTCATTTTCAAAAGAAAAAAAAAAGTAAAACATATAGAATAACTTTTTTCCTCATTTTGAGGTAATCTAAAACCCATCAAAAAGAGTGGTTTCATATTTAATGAAAAGTTGAAATCTATACGAATCGCCTTATCTTGCGTCACAAAAAACTCGTATACTTGTCGTCATCCTCACCTCGCAGGAAGGCTGTTCAGAACTTGGAAACCATTTCTCTTTGTTTGGCAATTCAAGAACTTGGAAACCATTTTTACGTGTTATTTGTTGTTTGTTTTATATTTTTTTGTTTATTTTTGAAAACTGAAGTTAAAAAATAATAAATGGTACAAATTACTAAACGATTTAATTCTTCAGAATGATTATTCATAATTCTAATTTTTGACATTTAAATTCAGAATGATTATTCATAATCCTAATTTTTGACATTTAAATTTTTTTAAGAGAAAAACACTATAAAAAATCATAATTCAAAACATGAAACAAACATCCCCTGAGAACAATCTAGCTCCTTCTACAAATTGCCCGGTCAGACGTTGGAGGGATTATTCTTGATCTATTTTCGAAAACAACAGAGGAAACGTAAAATTTTGAAGAAACACAGTAATATTTCAACAAACAATATTTATGTTACTTTTTTTATTTAAGTAAAGAGGAGCTCACCCATTAATCTTAGCAAAAACTTTTCGATTCAATTCTTGATGTTTTCTTTAAAAACAAGAAACCTTAATGTGGTCCAACTTTTACAATGTAAATGAGCATAAAGATAAAAATAAATGAATATATTAATAAGCTACTGTAAGATTGATTTCATACTTTTTGATCATATGCAAATGCCAAATACACAAAACACAACTCATCACGTTTTAAACAATATCCAAGACCACAATCCAAATTCATAACCAACAAAATTAATGCAATGAAAAAAAGAATCCACAAATAACATTGATATGTATTACACTATATAAATCACACACACACACACACACACACACATATATATATATATATATATATATGCATGGGATAATTAGAGCTCGTGGGATTGTTGATGATGATGTGCTTTTTCTCCCTTAGACAAGCTCTTCTTGACCTTCTCGGAGGTCTTGTGCATAGTTTCCCCAGCTAATTTGGCTGCTGATTTTGCAGAATCCTCAACATTCTCTTTGCCCTTCTCCATACTTCTTGTGACTGCCTCTTTCACTTTCTCTCCAGCTCCACCTCTACTACTTGTGCTACCACTCATCATGTCTTGATTTGCTTCATTACTCCTGAAACTATTACATATATATATATATATATATATATATATGTATGTATGTAACATAGTACATACCACCCACTAAAATCATGACTATTTCATTTCTTTCGTAAAAATAAAATAAAATAAAATAATAACGAAAATAGGTTGCTCTCACATATAAAAGAGTAGTGCTACAAGTACACACCTCATCTTTTGTGCTACTTTCCCCTAATACCAATTACATGTGACAATTTATCACTCTTATACAACTTTTTACAAAAAGGTCCAAAATGACATTCCAATTGTGATCAAGACAATGGTAGATGTAACACTTGTATCAAGATCAGATTATTAATACCAAAAATATTTTTCCCCCCAACTTTTTTGTTTTCTTCTAGATAATTCCCCAACTTTTTTATTACCTTATTCGAAACTACTCAAATTGGAAACAAAATTCAGTCGCTCTTACTCGAGGTTTTTCTTTTCCTTTTTTAAAAAAAAAAAAAAAAAAACATTCACTTGATTTCTTTTCAAACAAATAAAGGGAGAAAAAAAAAAGAGATTGATTGAAGTAAAAATAAAAATAAAAATAAAAACATTCACTTGATTTCTTTTCAAACAAATAAAGGGGAAAAAAAAGAGATTGATTGAAGTTAAAAAAAATAAAAAAATAAAAACATTCACTTGATTTCTTTTCAAACAAATAAAAGGGGAGAAAAAAAAAAGAGATTGATTGAAGAAAATAAAATCAAAACTTACTCAAGATTAGGAGGAAAGAAGTAGGCATGTGGTTGGTGCAGAAGAGATTTAAATCTGTCCCAGTTGGTGAAAGTTGAAGGAGAAGAGCTTGGAGAGGAGACATAAAGCAAACTTGTTAGCCTCTCTGTGAGAGTTGCTTTGACTGGTTTCTTTTCTTCTTGGTCTTCTTCTCCAACTGCAGATTTGGAGGCAAAGCCCATCAACATACAAAAGACAATCATCAAAGCTATTGAAATCTTGAGTTTATCCATTTGATAAATTTCGACAAGTACTAGAATCCAGATAACTAGGTTAATTTGGGGTGGTAGAGCAAGAAAATAGTTTCTTGTATCTTCAGGGGTGAGAAACTGACTGCTTCTTGTGAAAGTGGGTCCTAATTTGTAGACACGTGTCCTGTGTTGTCAAGACAAAAAGTAGTTCTTGAAGACGTGTCCTGTGTTGTCAAAACAAAAAGTAGTTGTTGAAGACGTGTCATGTGTGCGTGGCTCTTGCTGATTTACACGTCTAAGGTAATATCAATTAATACTTTATTAATTTAGTTAAATTTGAGTTATAATTTGAGTTAAAATTATAACTTGAATAAAGTTAAATAAAATTAAAACTTAAAAGAACGTAAATTTAAATAAAGTTAAAACTCGAATGGTCTTTTTTTAAGTTTTTTTTGGACAAAAGAACATGCCCTTCATGTTTAGTCCCCAGATTAGAGCTCAACTCTCATTTTAGTACTCTTAACTGTCCCAACATGAGTCCTCAATTTACAGAATTAGAAAAATACTAGCATCATTTTTTCGGTTATTCTTTGTCACTTTCTATGTTGTCAAAAAAATAATATTAGCATTTTTCATAGAATTATCCTAAATTAGCCCATACATCTCGTAAAATCTAGACAGAAAAAAGCATGCAAAGAGATACTCCCAATTATATTACTCCCAATTATTCTTCATTATTGGTTAATTAAGTTTGTGCGTGAGTATTCTTCATTATTGATTAATTAAGTTTGTGGCAATGGAATAGAACGAAAACTATTTTTGTTAAAATTGAAATTCAAATTTTTAAAAGCACAACGGAAAACAGTTCTTTCACACCACTTAACATGCAACGCCAGTATTTTTCTTTCTCGCCACATAATTGACAAAAAAGTTTGCAATTACCTTATTGAACTAAACATTTTCGTAAAGTGGTAATATATCAAGTAAACATTTGAGTACGAGGACAATTATAGTTTCGGGTTAAAATTACCAGAGTTTGAAGAAAATTGTCCGAAATTTAAACGCTTAAAGACAAAGTTTTAAATACTAAAGTGCAAAATAATGGAAAGTTCATGTTAATAGATCGGCGTCTTTCATGCATTATTGAAACATGTACTTACTAGCATCAAAGAAATTTACATTATTTTTTCAAAATTTTTGACTTTTTGGGTATAAGAACAAAAACGGTGGTTGATTTCAATTCAAATGCTCAAAAAAAAAAAAAAATGAATGATTTACATTATCTTGTGTGTTGACCCGTAGCCAGAGTTAAATAGTTGGGGCCTCGGAATATGTCCTCAGTCCTCATCAAAACCTCCGCCGCCGCCATCATCCATGTCGACATCGCCGTCTCCAAAATCACCTACGTCATCTCCGTGAGCTTGGTCGGCGTCACCTGGATTGTAGGCAGCAGCTGCATTCTCTTCCATCTCTGTGGCATTCTGGGCTGCCGCAGGCTCTTCATCCCTCACTTTCATGGAATTTAGATTCTCATTGCTGAAAAACGAATTGTACGGCTTCGATACCTGCCACATCGACCAGTTAATTTTTAAGGTTTTTTGCAGATTTCAATGACTATGGAATTTTAAAATAGTTGCAACATTGCCCCGCTTATGTTTATTGTTTAATCATAACTGGATATATAGGCCGTGTTTGAAATTGATCCCGTTTTTATTTTTTACATTTTTTGATAAATAAAAAATGAAAACGTTACAAAACGGCGTTTGGCGCAATAAAGACAAAAAACAGAAATGAAAATAAATTTTTAGTTTAATGTAAAATGAGAGAGAAATGAAAAACGACTTTTAATCGTTTTTCATTTTTTGTTTTCGTTTTATCCTCTCGAGCAGAGAGAGAGACATTAATGGATTTTTTTATACTGAAAACAATATCTTAATAAAACTACCAAATGCATTTTCAAAAATGATTTCTGTCTGAGATTAAAAACGTTTTCATTTTTATACAAAAAATAAAATCATTTTGAAACGAGTTCCAAACGCGCCCATAGTGATGCACTTGTGAAGTGGTAAAGAATGTGAAATGATAAAATGATGTCATAACAGAGAAACAGAGTGAGGAAAGGGATTTTTTTTTTTTTTTTTTAAGAACAAGTATGGTATTAGAGCAATTTACCCAATCTGTGTGTGCGTCTTCCAAGGGGCAATTTTTTTCTTTTTTTTTTCATCAATAGATTTTTTTTTTTCAAATTCTTTGCTGAGAAGTGAATATTTGGACACTCAGTAAAAGATAACATTTACCTTAAACATACAATCTCTCTTCTCAGCACTTTGCACAAGGTTATTCCAATGCTCATCACCCCTCCTTAATGTCGATGCAGAACCGACCACCTAATCAAATGTGCAATGTCAGACTCGGCAATCAGCATATGAGGTGAAGAGAGATATTGATATCCAACTTTTATTACTTAATGTTATAAGCTAAAAGAATAGCGTACCAAGACAGAAGACTTTGCTCTTGTAATTCCGACGTTCATTCGCCGAAAATCAGATACAAATCCAATGCCCTTATTCTCACTTGCCCTAACACAAGAGAATATAGTGACGTCCTTTTCACGTCCCTGCAGGAAGAAAGGAAAAAAAAAATGGTTTTCACATGTACTAGAAGAAATATGTAGAAATATAGAAAGCTAGGTTTTTTCGAAGTTCCATGCTTCTACAGGTCTGAGTAAACCACACAAGCCACAGTCATAGCAGTTGACAACTATGATCATCAAAAGAACAGAGTGGAGTGACTGAACACTTAACCTGGCAACCATCCACAGTAGTGATATCCACTACTTTTTCCGAGTCGACCCCGAAGGTACTCTTAAAACGTTCTTTATAGAGATTTACTTGGGCGCTGTATGGGGATATGATTGCGAATTGCTGACTTGATTTTAGCTCTGGATATGTGCTCACCAATTTCTGATACAAAAGGAAAACAAACTCGACCTCATCAACGTTTACCCACGATCCACTTCCTGAAGATTGGGATTCTTTCCCTTCGAGTAAATTGAAGAAGCAAAATGGCCCAAAACAGCGATAGTCATGCCAGTCACGCCGTGTCTGATCTTTGACGTTGGGACCGTCCTCCAATGACTCAGCATAAAACTCCCCAGACGGAAAGCTCCTGATCTGATTCAGGAAATAGGGTTGTAAGTTGGATATTATTTCTTAAAAATGCAGTTTGATGCCAAGGAAAACAAGTGGAAATATCTTATACAAACATCCACTTGGGAGTATCTGCATATATTAGGTTAGATGTAAAGAACCACATAGCAGACCATGGACACAAGCCTTACCATCTAATGTGCAATTCAAACCCCAATAGACTTGGTATATTACACAGTTTATTTGCCCCTATAGTAAAAACTGAATACTAACGTTTGGCACTTACTCATCAGATAGCTGCTTGTGGTTCTACAATACCCAATACAACAAAGCCCAAAGGGGATCCGAATATGGTACTTGTACATTTATCAAAATATAAGCCGGAAATAATGTCATATGAGGAAGAAGAAAATAAAAATTAAAAAAAAATTTAAGAAAAAAGGAGCTCGCGAAGCAGCAATAGCAGTGTCCACGTTAAACATCAAATATGTTTGCAACAATTTTTAATAATTATTTCCAGCATAATAAGTAGTCCTCATGAAGGCAGAACCCCCAAGCTACAGACCAATGCTTTAATTCTGATGTTTTTGAAACAATATAGCGATAACAAAACTGGCCTTCCACGTCAACCATCATTAGACAGTTTTATTAACGGGATTTCTATTTTCTTTGCTTCTAATATTATATTCAAATTTCAAGATTATAACTTCATTTGTAAGTAGAATAACATAATTACGTGGTCAAATTCTTGATGTAAAAATATATTATTTTCAATAATACCCGACCAGAGTGTCTTGGGCTAAAGCTAAATTAGTTCATGAACTAATTTTTATAAAGGACAACTAAATATCTCTCATCTAACCTCTGGATGCATTCGATACTGGGTCTTGAGCATGGTCACTGGATAACCAGCCCTCTGAAATCTCTCGAACATGCTCCTACCATATCTGCACAAGAGAATCAAGAAAGAGACGTAAAACAAATGTCTTTATGCATCAGATATTTCTTACAAATAATAAAGAATTATTATTGTCATCACATATGTTTTACCCAAATTTCTCCGCAATTGGAGAGATTACAGTAGCCGGCAGTTGAACAGGATCGCCAACCTACGTGGTATAGGAAAAAAAACAGTATATTAAAAACAAAACAAATTTACACATAAGAGTTCATACGCATAAAGCAGCATATAGGAGACACTAAAAGAATAAATGAGGATGCAAAGTCCACAATAAGTCCAGTAAACAGTAAGATTAGAGTTTTACCAGAAATACTTGTTTGCATCCATTGGCCAATGGAACAAGAATAGCTGGTTCTACCTGTTAAAAATATATTACACAAAGCGGGTAGATGTTGTCTTGCTGAATTCTTATCAAAAAGCAGATAGAATTCGATATGAAAAGGATAGAATATAAGAAAAAAAATACAAAGCAATGATATACATATACATGGTTAAATTACAAAGAGATGGTACTTTCCAAAATTTTGAAAGCATGGAAGGATTTTTCAAGTAAAGGTGTCCCTGTCCTGGAAACTCAAGAAATTGCTGAAATTTGTATCAATGTCCTGTCAGATGATTGTCACACCGCAACCATAGGTAACCTAAATCTATCTTATAGGTATATATAGTACCAACCCCTTTCCCTTGCAGTGGGAGCTGACTATTTTCCTTTCATTTTCCCCTCCCTTTAACCGAAAAACCAGTTGAAGTGCTGGACCGTTTCCGAAAAGAACAGAATTGAATTGTGGTGGTGAGGGAACTACATATTTTAAATCCATCAACAACACTAACATTCCATCAAGGACATAGAATGTAACTAATGCTTTCTTCTGCTAGAAAAGAAGAAACGACATTTTTTGCAACCTGTTACGTTCCTGCACCAGTAAGCAATCCAACAAAAGAAAACAAAGAGAAATTACTTGAAAATGGGCCAAGTTCCTTTTATTAATTCTCACGAAATACTATTCGGAGAGATGGATTCCATCCTCATGGGAATACAAGAACACAAGAAGGAAATAAGAAAATGAAATGAGAACGATGAGGAATTCGAGGTTCCCCTGCCTCCCAAGGTCTGCTATTAGAAATTACTCTCAATTCACAGCCGCCCCCCTCATTAGCCACTAGACCCTTATTTATACTACTAAAAGACTACTCAAAAACAACTGCTAACTATCAGGTTCCTAACATTACCCCCGCCCCAAAGAATCACCGTGTCCTCAAGGTGAAAATCAAGAAATAAAATTGAAAAATAACATCTAAATGATTAAGATCAAAAGGCTCTGTTAGTTCCTTGATTTGAGTCCCCAAATTGATGTTGTCCTCGTAAGTCACGTCTTCAAATTGGAGCCAATCAATTACTTTCTTCTCCATCTTCTTTGTATCTTGAAACTCTCTGAAACTCTCTGTGCAAGCTCATCAATGGTCACAAAAAATATTGGCAAATCGATTCTCACTAAGGGAGTTTCCTTCTTAGCCAACCAGGACATCAACCTTTCAGCCTCACTCTCACCAATTTCTTCATACCCATCTGCAACCGTACCATTCCCAGCCCCAAACGTGTTAAAGTTTTGAGGCCCGACTGCCATTGCACCAAAATTAGGCTAACTAATATTGTAACTAGGAGGCCCAACTCCAAAATTGACTTTGTCAATACCGAAAACACTAGACCCAGCCCACTTCCGAACATAATTTCGGGATTCAGCCCTAAAATCGCCGGATTTCGCATCAAACTTCCCCGTCCTGGCCATCATCTCACCGGAGCTAGCCCCAATGGCGTCAAAATCACAAAACCCAGCCTTAAGGGCATCGAAATTCACGGATCCCACTCCAATTCCGCCGGAATCTTCCTCCGTAGCATCGGAACCAACCCCTTTCACGCCGGAATCGCGAGGCCCGGTCCACAAACCGGTCTGGAATCAGCCCCAACCGCAACCGAATCAGGGCTGGGTTCCCTGTTCCGAGGGTACCCATGTCGTTCCAGCCTCGGAGCAATCCCCTCCTCCTCTAACTCCAGCTCCCACTCCACTTCTCGTCGCCGACCAAGCTCGGCCGCCCCTCCCAGTGAACCCCAGCCACCTTCCGCCCTCATTCTGCCGTCGAGTGGCTCATCTCGCCGCCGACCCAAGCCTCCCGCCCTCAGATCTCGCCGGTAATCGCGCGCCTCTTAAGAGATCTAAGTCTCTCCGGTGCCCGATCTCCCACTCGCGACCTCGGCCTTCGCGCATCGGCGCTTCCCGACAAAGATCGGCTTGATTTGGTACCTCTACTCTGCCTGGATCATCGCAATCTGGGATCTCTTCACCTCAATGAGCGCAATCTCGCCACTCGACGTCACGGCCCAAGTCAGCAACCCTAGGCACCGGCCGCACCTCCATCCGCCGCACCGCCGCCTGCAAGTCACCCATCTGGGTCCGAACCTTCCCCACATGGTCCTGGAGTTCCCCCATACTCCCTCTAGAAACCTTAAGATTAGCTCTTAGAGCAGCCCTAATTTTCTCTCTCAACTCAAATAGCGAAACCTTAGGTTCTGAACTCACGGGCTCACCTCCAGAAACCTTGAGATTAGCTCTTAGAGCAGCCCTAAGTTTCTCTCTCAACTCAAAGAGCTCCATGGATCGTAGATGCTCTGATACCATCGTTACGTTCCTGCACCAGTAAGCAATCCAACAATAGAAAACAAAGAGAAATTACTTGAAAATGGGCCAAGTTCCTTTTATTAATTCTCACGAAATACTATTCGGAGAGATGGATTCCATCCTCATGGGAATACAAGAAAACAAGAAGGAAATCAGAAAATGAAATAAGAACGATGAGGAATTCGAGGTTCCCCTGCCTCCCAAGGTCTGCTAATAGAAATTACTCTCAATTCACAGACGCCCCCCTCATTAGCCACTAGACCCTTATTTATACTATTAAAAGACTACTCAAAAACAACTGCTAACTATCAGGTTCCTAACACAACCACTGCTAATTTTGAGGATGTGGTGTATCCAATATACATTAGCCACCATTACCTCAAAGCATATACAACTTTGAAGCATTCAAAGCTGTGGAAAAACTGTGTACATCTGGGAATACAGCCTGGAAAACCATGTATAGCTAGATGGTTTTTTAGGAAATTAGTTTGACAGATTATTTCCTTAGAATTAGAGATAATTTCCTAATTTGTTAGTTTCCTAAATTGTTAGGATACAAGCTTAATGTTAGGGTTGCTAGGGTTGCTGTATATATGTATGCCGTGTAAAGCATTTAGAATATATGAAAAAGAAAAGTTTTTTTATCTCAGTTTCTTATTGTCAATTCACAACAAAACGCACAAGGGAAAAGAAAGCAATAGAAGTATGGGACTTACAGCTTGGGCAGCTTCGTCAATTATAACAACGTCAAAACCACGATTCCATTTACTGAATAGAGCTGAACCACTGAAACTAAGTGTGGAGAAGACCTGAGTGTTACACAGTTACGAGAAAACCACAACCACTTAATGTCAATGACACAAGTATTTTATTTTTTTTTATTTTATTTTTTTTTTGATAAATGGACATGAGGTAAAGTTACATACGATTACAGACTCCTCCAAAATTGCAGCACGAACACTGTCCCTATCTTTTCCTGCACCTCCACATCTCTCTTTATCAACCTCCATGCTTTCATGCTTTTGCTTCACCTACAAAACAAATCCACGTCTATTTTAAGAAACATATACCACCACTTTTTGCCTCTTTCTCTCCACATAACAAAATGAATTTCTCAAAAAAACGACTGAAGAAATAAAACCATGAAAAATTTGTTTATGATTTGATTTGCAGAAACATCTTATAAGTCTGCAACTTGATCACTGGAATATTTACAGCTTTGAAGCCCTTGCATTGCGTTCCCTTCATCCAAGAACTATATCCCGGAACCAAATTCCCAAATCACATGCTTATACCACCTGATCACCAAACTGATGCAACAGCCTGTTTTAGGCTTACAGATAAATTTGGCAATATTCTTCCAGTGACCCCATTGTCCCAGACACTTCAAACGCAAAGCAACTTTCTATAATCTCAATGATATGAAGCTCAGATATCTAGTACTTTCCCAAAAGTTAAGTATCTCAGTTAGTGTTGCCTTTTACCTGTTTGTGCGGAGGATTCCTCACCCTCTCCACCCCTGTATCTTCTTTTGGTTTTATTAATACATCTTACTGCTTCCCATAAAAAATTATCATAATTAAGTGGGCCTCAGTGTTGGTTTACTAATACATACCAGGTTATCCATGGAGACTGCCCGCACAGAATGATGTGCCTTAAGACCGATCCGTACAATTTTAGGATTATATGAACGGTCATTTTCATCACGAACACCTGCGGAAGTACATAGAATTACAACATAAGTTACTTGCATTTATTGTCATCACAACAAATGGAAAGATGCACAGTGTGAATAATCTTTAAGAAAACATTTAAGTCCTTAACTTTTATACCTTAGACTAAAAATATATATTTTTATGTCATAATATGCACTAGGAACATGGAAAAGAATAGTTTGAAAAATAAAAGAGAGAGAAAAACTTAAGAGAAGTTAGATTAAGGACCAACTAGACACAGACAACCTAATTTAACTTTAGAAGTTAAAAGACACATTTTAAATTTTATGGATGATAATGAGATATGGGTCATAGTTTATAGCGCATTAGTGAAATCAACAATCATATTAGTCAGATGTTCTTCGAAACGAAGGTCAAGATAACAAGAGGAAATATAATCAGCATATAAACGCATTAAAGGAGAACAAAACTGGACTTAACAAAGTACAACGGAACTAGATCATGTAAAACAGGGAAATGAGCAAGGGCTATACCATTGTTTAGAACTCGTACTACAATCTCATCTAGTGCAGAGTTCGAAGGGGCACATACTAGTACACGTACACGATATTTACGGCAAGAATTGACTACTTCTGGTTTCTGCAGACAATATTTCAGTTCAAAGCTACAACTTTCTCAAATCATCACAATATAAATCCAAAAATAGAGCCTACCAGCTCGTTTCCGGTGGTTGGATAGAAACCATCATCACCATCAACAGGCATTATATCATCTCTCGGATTATTCCCACCAAGCCATGGAGAAGCTCGTCCCCAATGATTGTACCTGAAATATGTACAAAGTCACCATATACAATGAAGAACTCAAGGGAATGGAGTGAAAACAAAGGAACAGCAATGCAAGGAGTGGCTTCCAAGCAAAAATAAGGTTAAACAAATATTTTGTATATCTCTACATGATGGTTGCAATAGATGCAGTGCTTACAGGGTTAGACTAGAACCGCTTTATAAAAGAATGAGGAAAAGTTCATGACATCTAAAACAAGTATGAACGTTGAACAATACGAAACAGCCAAAGTCAAATAACAACAATAAATGACGATAGTAAAAGTCAGAATCACATACATGTCCGGAACGGATAATTTCGGCCCGCGTTTTTTGTTGAGCAACCCTCGCCTACACGAGAAGGATAGCAAATGACTATCAGCACATTAATTTAAAAGCTCCTTAATGTAATACGCTGCTTCTAATAATCGTGGAACACATTGGAAGGCCAGAAATAATAGCTTCCATAGGACACGACAAACGCAGTGCCAGCAAAAACAATTTATCACCTCGAGTGCAGTCTTGCTGGAGTCGCATGCAAAATTGCACTGAGAAGCCCAAGGATGGTTTGTGTCTTTCCCGTTCCTGGAGGACCCTAAATAGAAGCACTGTTTTAGTATCCACATTGTAGAAATAAGGAAAGTAGGATGTTTGACCTTGTTTCCTATTTAAACCGGTCAATTAGAGGTTGTGAGATAGATTAGGAAAGTAGTTTATTTTTTAAATAAAAGAGATTCCTTAAAATAAGGATCTCCTTTATTTGAGGGATTTCTATACCTAATTAGGTGATATGTTTTCCCTATAAAAGCCATGTAAATGTTGTACAGTTTAATAGAGCAAAATACAATTTTTCTGCCCTAGAAACCTACATGGTATCAGAGCCGTCCTCTCCTAGATGGCTGAAACAGCGGCTACAGAGGAAAGGAGATCCTCGGCTTCATCTAAGGAAGAGAGCTCTAATATTGGTGAACCATACCGAACCACCATGAATCACAGGGGGGATTCTTCTCACATTTCGTTCCAACTAACCCTCCATAAATTGAATGGGAAGAACTACTTGGAATGGGCGCAATCTATGAAGCTGGCTATCGATGGCAAGGGAAAGCTAGGCTATTTGACTGGAGACGTGGAGAGACCTATGGCTGAAGATCCAAAGCTGAGAGTGCATGCAGATCCGAGAACTCATTGGTCATCGCCTGTTGATCAATTCCATGGAGCCAATGATAGGTAAACCGTACCTTTTTCTCCCCACCCCTAGAGATGTTTGGGAAGCGGTTAGGGAAACCTACTCCGATGCCGAAAATTTTTCACAAATTTTTTAACTGAAAATTAAGTTGTGGAAGTCTAGGCAAGGTGAACGTGAAGTGACTCTCTTTTACAATGAGATGGTGTCTCTGTGGCAAGAATTAGATCAATGCTACAATGATGAATGGGATTGTCTAACCGATAGTGTTAGATTTATGAAGGAGGAGAGTGATCGGGTGTATCTTTTCTTAGCAGGCCTAAACCAGGAATTTGATGAGGTTAGGTCTAGGATTCTTGGAAAAAAAAAAACCCTTGCCTACACTTCGAGAGGCTTTTTCTGAGATTAGGAGAGAAGAGACTAGGAGGAAGGTTATGCTGAAAAACGATTCTTAGGTGAAACCAGCCACTGGTGGTATCACTGATAGTTCGGCCTTTGTTTCAAGGAATGAATCAGAGAATGACAGGAAGAAGAAACCGTGGTGTGATCATTGCAAGAAACATTGGCATACACGGGAAAATTGCTAGAAACTCCATGGGAAGCCTCCGAATTGGAAGAAGAAGAATGCTCCAGACAATCGGGCACTTCAAGTATCCACTGAAGAACAGGGGCAGCAAAGTACTCCAGAATCGCTTCCTTTCACAAAGGATCAACTAGAGCAATTGCACAAACTTCTCCAATCTCCTCAGTTCTGAGTAAACCCATCAAATTCTTCCTGTTCCTTTGTCCAAACAGGTAAGCCTATCTATGTCCTTGTCTCGGTTTTTTCCAGCAGCAACCCCAGTCAAGACAATTTCTGGATCATAGATTCAGGGGCTACTGATCACATGACAAGCTGTTCCCAGTTTTTTTCCACCTATACTCCATGTGCAGGAAATAAAAAGATAAGAATCGCTAATGGCTCATTCTCGGCAGTTGCTGGAATAGGAACTGTCAGGATAAATCCCTCTATAATCCTGCATGATGTCCTTCATGTCCCTAACCTTTCTTGTGTCAATTTAGTAAAATTACTAATACTCTCAATTGTTGTACTGTTTTTAACTCCTCTCGGTGTGAGTTTCAGGAAATGGTCTCGGGGAGGACGATTGGCAGTGCTAGGGAAAGTGGAGGACTCTATTTCCTTGAAGGTGGAACCAACTCGGGACAGCAAGTTCAAAATACTTGTTTGAACTCTATTTATGTTTCTAATAATGTTATGCTTTGGCATTATAGACTAGGAGATCCGAGTTTTTATTACTTGAAACACTTGTTACCTAATTTATTTCGAAATAAAAGTCTATCTTCTTTTCGATGTGAAATATGTGAATTGGCAAAACATCATCGCTCTTTTTTCCCTTCAAGACCATATCAAGCTTCAAAACCTTTTTTGTTAATTCATAGTGATGTTTGGGGACCATCTAGAGTCACAACAATGTTTGGCAAAAAAATGGTTTGTTAGTTTTATTGATGATCACACATGGCTTAGTTGGGTTTTTTACTAAAGGATAAATCTGAGGTAAAAGAGATTTTTAAAGTGTTTTATACAATGGTTGAGACAATTTTAGGAAACAATCAAAGTGTTCAGAAGTGACAATGAGAGAGAATACTTTAATGAAGTCCTAGGGGATTATTTTCAAAAAAAGGGATAATACATCAAAGCACATGCCCAGATACACCCCAACAAAATGGGATAGTAGAACATAAAAACAAACATCTCTTAGAAGTCACTAGGGCACTACTTTTCACTCATCATGTCCCTAAGTATCTTTGGGGAGTTGCACTTTTAACTGCAACATACCTCATAAACCGCATGCCTACAAAAATCTTGAACTTCAAAACTCCTCTTAATACCTTTAAAGATGCCTTTCCAACTTCAAGATTAATATCTGATTTACCTCTTAAAGGATTTGGTTGTAGTGCCTTTACCCATATACATGACCATCATCGGGGAAAATTAGATCCTAGAGCTCGGAAGTGTGTTTTTGTAGGCTATGCTCCACACCAAATGGGGTATAAATGCTATGATCCGAGAACAAGAAAAATGTTTGTTACTTTAGATGTAACCTTCTTTGAAGATCAACCATTTTTTGATAATCATCTTCAGGGGGAGAGCCTAAGTGAAGATTATTTTGATTTTCTTGATTTCCTTGGCACATCTGATAATGTTCAAATTCCAAATTTCTTAATAAATGTGGAACCGAGTGATTTGACTAATGAAAACTTGGATGCTGGAACTATAGTCATCTCATAATATTAGTAGACATGGAAATAATGAACAAGCAGGTACAAAAAAGCTACTTGTCTACTCGAGAAGGAACCGGAAACAAGGAAATAAGACTGACACTTCCCAACACTGTCAAGAATCTACACCTCAGATCATTCAGAACTCTATTGATGTTCCAGGTAATCCTCATATAGCCCCCACTCACATAAATCTTCCTCATCAAGAGTCCAATCAGTCCGTACCTACTCCCATAGATCCTCCACATCAAGAGTCCGCACCTGTGTCTGAACTTGACCTTCCTATTGCTCAACGTAAAGGTGTCAAAAGTTGTGTCAAGTATCCAATGTCCAATTTTATTACCTATAAAAATATGTCCCCAGTTTTTTTTGCGTTTGTCTCACAATTATCTAGTGTGGAGATTCCAAAGAATGTGCAGAATGCTCTAGAGGTTCCTGAATGGAAGGAAGCTATTCTTGAAGAAATGAGGGCTCTTGAAAAAAATGGAATGTGGCAAGCAATGGAGCTGCCGAAGGAAAAGAAGACAATTGGCTGCAAATGGGTGTTCACAACCAAGTTTAAATCCAATGGATCCTTAGAAAGATACAAGGCTCGCCTGGTGGCAAAAGAGTTCACTCAAACGTATGGTATTGACTACCTTGAGACCTTTGCACCCGTGGCAAAGATGAATACTGTCAGAGTGCTTTTAACAATTGTAGCTAATCTAGACTAGTGTCTTCATCAACTAGATGTGAAGAATGCATTCCTCAATGGCGACTTAGAAGAAGAAGTCTGTTAGCAGATAAGATCTTTTAGAGATAGGTTGAATAAGTCAAATAGTTATCTTTATTATTTAGTTTATTATTTCCGGTTATTTGGATTAGGAATTATCAATTAGTATTTGAATTCAAATAGGATAGATTATCTTAGAGTGGATAATGGACTCGGTATTCGAGCCCTAGTCTATTTAAGTGAACTTTCTTTCGATTAATAAAGTAAGGCAGATTTATTTAAACTGCGTTCAAAGTCTATATGGATCCACCTCCAGGTTTTGAGAAGAAGTTTGGCTCAAAGGTATGCAAACTAAGAAAATCCTTGTACGGCTTAAAACAGTCACCGAGAGCCTGGTTTGAGAGGTTCACTCAGTTTGTAAAAAAACAAAGATATGCTCAGGGACAGGCCGACCACACTATGCTCACAAGGTACTCAGCTGGTGGGAAGATAGCTGTTCTTATAGTTTATGTTGATGACATTATTCTTACCGGGGATGACGTGACAGAAATGGAGCGGTTGAAGTAGTGCCTAGCCTCTGAGTTTGAAATCAAAGATCTGGGTTCACTAAAGTATTTTCTCGGTATGGAGATAGCTCGGTCAAAAAGGGGAATTGCGGTGTCTCAGAGGAAATATGTGGTGGATTTACTTAAAGAAACTGGAATGAGTGGATGTTGTCCTGCTGAAACACCCATTGATCTAAATCATAAGTTTGGGCCCATTGATCCGAATCATAAGTTTGGGAGCAAGGAAGGAAAACCGGTAGATACAACTCAATATCATAAGCTAGTGGAAAAACTAATTTACTTGTCACATACACGGCCAGACATAGCATTTGCCGTTCAGTTTATGCATTCCCCTCATGAGGAACATCTTAAAGCAATCTACCGTATCCTTAGATACTTGAAGAACTCTCTGGGAAAAGGCTTATTTTTTGGAAAGAACGAGCAGCGAGGTGTTGAGGCCTACACAGATGCAGATTGGGCAAGGTCTATTTCAGATAGGAGGTCTCCATCAGGCTATTGTACATTTGTGTGAGGAAACCTAGTAACTTGGCAAAGCAAAAGGCAGAATGTTGTGGCTCATAGTAGTGCTGAAGCAGAGTATAGATCAATGGCACATGGAATTTGTGAAATGTTATGGCTTAAACGGATCTTGGAGGAACTGAGAAGACTAGTGACTATGCCTATGAAGTTGTACTGTGATAACAACTAAACATGTTTGACCTTGTTTCCTATTTAAACCGGTCAATTAGAGGTTGTGAGATAGATTAGGAAAGTAGTTTATTTTTTAAATAAAAGAGATTCCTTAAAATAAGGATCTCCTTTATTTGAGGGATTTCTATACCTAATTAGGTGATATGTTTTCCCTATAAAAGCCGTGTAAATGTTGTACAGTTTATTAGAGCAAAATACAATTTTTCTGCCCTAGAAACCTACACACATATTAATTTAATGCACATGAAACAATGATTTAGCAATACCAGAAACAAGTGGATAGAATGGAGAGTTAAAGAAAAAAGAGGAAAAGAGCAAGTGAAAGAGATGCCTAAGTCGAATGGTGGCTAATTCTTGTCTTCAAGAGAACAAATCTACTTCCTGAAACATAATTAAATTTCCCATATGGCTTGCTTTGATACTAAAGTACTAATTTTCTCCAAGAATTACCAGAACCAGATACATATTATCTATAAGGATTAATTACAAAAATTCCTCATGATTTATACCCCTCGTAACACTTTAGCCCCTGATCTTTAAAACGTAACATCCGTTCCTCCTGAACAATAAAATGTTAACAAAAAGGCCCCCTATGTTAGGTTTTTAACTAAAATTGAGATTTAATTTGCTATTTTGAGGGTATTTTAGAAATTCTATGGTTTAAAACTTAATTTGTATTTAAACTAACTTAAATATTCAAAAAAAAACTTAATAAATTTTTTTATTCTACCAAGAAAGATTCATAAAATTTTTAACTTAAATTCAATCAATAATGAATGTATCATAATTAAAAGTTTAAATTTAAATTACTTTTAAATTCAAACTAAAATTTAAACCATAAAGCTACTAAAATACCCCAAAATAACAAATTAAATGTCAATTTATGTTTAAAAAACCTAACGGAAAGGGCTTTTTTTTTAATATTTCATTGTTTGGGGGAACATATGTTGCGTTTTAAAAATTGGGAGGCAAATTGTTACAAGGGATATAGTTCAAGCGGAATTTTTGTAATTAAACCTATATATAATTATATACATATATACATATATGTATGACTTCCCCTCGGCAAATATATATGTATCGGTCTTCCTGGAAAAGCTTACATTACCAACTTGAATCTTCTATTTAGCTTTCAAGCATAATAGCATAATCTTTTGTCTCCACTGGAACGTTTGAATCCTAGGTTCTTTTGAATTATGAAACAAAGGAAGACTACCTTCAAGGCTCGAGCACAGAAAATATTGAGATTAAGAGGTTTAATACACAATATGAGAATTCTCAATGAGACATAACGCAAACCTGTATCAGAACAAAAGGCTTGCGTGACAGACCAGCCTGCAAGGGGGGTAAAAGAAAGAAAAATCTTTCAATTAAAAGGAAAAAATGAACTCTTTGTAGTTTGTACAAATAAATATAAGAGCCCAATAAAGCCCCAGAGACACAAGATAAAAAGTCACAAAGAGAACAAAGAAGGAAGAGACAGCAAGGCTGAACTCTGTACCAAATTTCCACAAGGCAAGAACATATATAGATCATCTATATAGATCACTATTCACTAGTAGATATAAAAGTAATTTACCTGTATAGCATCCCATTGAGATTTATTAAGATTTTCTTTTATATATTCCTCTAGGGGTGTAGATATTTTCCAGGCCTGGTCTTCCAGATCAAACTTTTTTTCACTTGCTGTTACTATTAAATCCTTGAAGGGGAGAGAGCCAATTGATTGTAGAGCAACATATTCACGAGTAATAGTCGATAAACTGCAAACCTATCAAAAGTAAATCAATAATTCAGGGTAGATTCATAAAAGAAAACAGAAGAGTTTATAATAGACAACATGATTCAGTTTGGCTTATTAACGAAAAACATGGTCCAGCTTGATTCTTTATGTCAATTATGTCAAAGGAATAAAAGTCTTGTAAATGCAACACAGAGAGAATTTTGGCATTTCTGCAATATAAGGTGCCAACATTGAATAAGTTGCTACTGTTGAGGCCAGAGATCCACAATGATGTTCAATATAACCTGGAAAAAATAATTATTCATTCTTCTAGGATCATCGTGCGATTGTATCTGAACTGAATATTACTCATCTATAAGCTTGCTTGGACTTACCTTACAGAGCATATCCGAAAACACTTAATCACATTAAACCAATAACATTAGCATAAATGATTAAGCTTGTTCTAACTATTACAGTTCTTACCATAAGAATTCTTATGGAAACTGATAATTAAAATAACCTGTATTACTTGTACAAAACAAAAGGGAATTTCCAGTAATAATTTTTACATCGTATATTACGTCAGCAAGGATATTAAGGACCACTTTGTCTGTGGGAATAATTTTTGGTTGAAATTTTCAAACCCCAAAGTGTTTTGATACACCAAAAATCATAATTTCCAAATTTATTGTAAAAGAAAATTACATATAAACATATGCAATGCCATTGGCTATATCTCGAGAGAAAATGCTATTAAAGAAGCCAATGCATGAATTTCATTTCGTAGACATGTGTAGACACTAATTGACACAATGTCTCAACTAGTCAAAAAGTCCTACTACATCAACTCAAAAACCATGTTACTAGCATCACAATAGCTCCAGCCAAATTATATGATTGAATCACTACATATAGTTAAGATCCTAGAAAAGAAATCTACAAGCAGGAATATATCCAAGTTAATGAGAGGAGCTTGCTAAACCTTTAGACTGTAAAAGAGTCTGTCCGCTTCATTCGTAGAAGTAATCAAGGCCCGCACATTTGTAAGCCTCGAAGAAGACTCAATGACATCAGTTTTCCCATGTGTGAATTCTCCATCCAGAAACATTCTAAGGACAATGCGATTGTTCTGGACACTCTCCACCAAAGTAAATGCATATGTTGTCGGGAGTCTTGCACCCTCTTGAAACTGCAGCATCCAATGCCTTAAAATCATAAGTAACCCCAAGCAACATTAAGTACGTTTATCAACCCATTTAGCCAAAACTCCCATTTTGTTTGCTCAATTTCTAACAATAATTACCATATCCAATCAGATATTTTGCACTAAAAATTGAACGCAGAGCCTAAATTGCTGATTCTTTTCCCTCATTGAAATGCTGTCTAAATGTGGAACATATTAGTCTAAACATTTTCTAGATATGTAATATTGGAGAAGGAGATGAATGTGAAAAATTCAAAACCTAAGATACCAAGAATAGTTAATATAAAGTACTATTTAAAATCTTCTCGGTAAGTTTTATAAAGTGCAGCATTCCAACTCAGCAATATGCAACAAATGCAAAGGGTACGGATTTCAGATTGGCAGCGATTAATTAGGTCAATTACCTTGACTTTTGAAAGAAGCAAAAGATCATTTTGTGATATGGATTCCTCATTTTCTGCAGCATTAACCACTATTAAGTGAAACCCACTAATCTCATTGCATTCCACCACCACTCTGCTTTTCCATTCTGTCACTGGAATGGCCCGAAAGACAAAAGAAATGAGAGCTGATTTCAGCGTTACATTCAACAAACTCTCCAAAAAGCATTACATTTACTTCTTTCTTTTTCAAAAATTGCTCGCCATTGGGATTGAGGCTCATATCATGATATCAGGGAATTTAATGCCTTGATGCAACAAATATACTAATCATTATATTAACCTCCAAATCCATAAAATAACTATACTGATATATGTTTTGAAGGAACAACATATTCATAAATTTACATTTAAAAGGATAATTATTATTCTTAAACTTCCAGCATTTTCAATGTATTCGTCAAAAATATCCGTACATTTTGAAGTATTGATATTTTCATAAATACCAATATTTTCATCCTTGGAAATCAGAGAAAGAAAAATAGGATGGGCATCAGAAATATAAAACTTCAAAACTCAAAAACCCCGCCAAGAAAAAGGGAAAAGGAAAAAAAAAGTAAGGACATTTTATGATATGGTTTTGGTGCATTACATTCGACATCCATTTGAACTAACCCATTAATTCCTACAACTCCCATTGCAGGGAAAGGACTAAGTCGAGTGATGAACCAAAAGCCCGAAACAGGTATAAAAGGAAAGAGATTAAGAGGGAAAAAATGGGGGCTTTAGCTTTACCATAATCGTCATCTTTCTTCTGAGAAATCTGGGCTTTAACTTCTTCAAATAGAAGGGGCTCAAAAGTAGAGATATAATCATCAACATCCTTGTACCTGTCCTTCACTTTCTTTAGCCCCAAACCATCATCTTCTCCTTCCTCTATGTCTTTCTTACTCTTCTATTTTCCAAACATAACAACAAACGACTTATCAATTCAAAACCATTAACATATATGCACATAAATATGCGTATATACATACATATATATATATGGGCAATACTTCTACCATAACATATTGAAGTTAGAAGCCTAACATGACATGTTGAAAAAGTGCAACGCCACAAAATTTAATTATCCCAGACGATTGTTGCACCTTTACAACGTTGGTATTACATTTAATGGATGTTGTGTCACGTTTTCCACTTCTATATGTTATGTAAAATAGATCATAGCAATATAATATATATATATATATATATAGAGAGAGAGAGAGAGAGAGAGAGAGAGAGAATACGTGGGAGTGTTTGAGAAGACGGAAATAATCCCAGCTGAGAACGATTTTGTGGAAGCGAGCAATGGAAGCTTCTTCTTGAGGCTTCTCAACTCCCACAGCCATACGAACGTTCCAGAATTTGCCAATTTGTTTGCCTTCTTCCAATCTAATATGAATTCCTTTTCCCAAAATTAACAAAAATTTAAAAATTTAAAAAAAAAAACCTTCAGAATAAATATGAGATCAGTATGAGCCAAATTTCTGCAAACCAAAATCAAACTCATCCATTTCCAGTTCCAGAAACAAACAAGAATAAAGTAGTTCCTACATACATATATATATATATATATTATATGTATACATAAATTGTTATATCTGTACTGTACCTGTGGCGATTCCTCGATTCTTGCGAGCAACTGAGAGAGTGGAAAGCGACGGAAGCAAAGAGCTGCTCGCAAGTGTCAAAACCGCTGCTTCGATTGCCGATGGGGAAGGAATGGGATTGCTATGGCGGGAAGGCTATGATGGTTAGGGCTTCAAAGTAGTTTGGAGAAAGATTCTATGGTTGAGATTGAAATAGCAATGAGATCAATGGTTGGGGTTATTTTAGGGCCGTTTAGTTGATGGATTAGAATCATGATATTAGAATTATTTTTTATTTATGTGTATCTTTTATGCGAAAAAATATTATAATGAATTATAAATCATGATTCGAATTAGAGAACGAATCATCTAACCAAACAAGCTATTAATATTTTTTATTTGATTTTTTATGGAATTTTTTGTGTTGTAATTTTTCCTTTGGTTAATGACATTGCAACTTCTCTCTTTTTTTTTCTTTTTTAAGAATAACGTCACAAGTTATCGAACTAAGAAAACGCATAAAATAAAGTAAATATAAAGAAAATGAAATAAATTGATTTTTTTTTAATGTTGTTTGGTGTCTCGACTTTTGAAGAAGAGAAAAGTGGGTGGAGTTCTTATTGGCAGCGGATATGGCGCAACGGTAAGCTGCGTCAACGTGAGGTGCGTGATTCTGATTCTTCATGAGTTTGGGGATCTTTGTCTCTAAGGTGTTCCATCTTCTGGGGCAGGGCGTGTCTTAACCATGGCAGAAGGCGGCGATAGCATGTGGATCTCACGCATCGATGAAAGGACAACTTTCCTTTGGCTCTCTTGGCCCTCTCTTAGCTTGCTTCTCTTGGCTTTGTTAGCCGTGGTGTTCGGCTTGTCCCCACTTGTTCTCTTACTGGGTGCGTTTGGAATTCGTTTCAAAACGTTTTTATTTTTTGTATGAAAATGAAAAGGAAAACGTTTTCATTTTCATTTTAAAATCATTTTTGAAAATGCGTTTGGTAGTTTTATTCTGAGATTGATTTCAGTTTAAAAAAAATTGAAATTGTATTTGGTGGTTTAATTTTTAAAAACATGTAAGAATATTTAAAATTAAAATATATTAAATAAATAATAATATTAATATATTATTAGATCAACAAAAATCACAAACTCAGATCAAGATAATATCACAAACTCAGGACCAAACGAACAAACATTTTTCTCCCGCGTTTCATCGAAAACTTTCCTTCCATCTCTAATACCATCAGTTTTCATATACATATCAACAAGAGAAGTGCCAACACTAACACCCTCCCCAAACCCGGATTTTACGCATTGACAATGCACTTGCCTACCCGCAACTTGATCAAACAAGCACCGACAATGTTGGAAAATAATAACATCGAGTGTGCAACAGAATTTAAAAAATTTAATCAACTTCAAAGCCAACCAAAAACATGTTCATGATGCTATATAACATAAATACTAAAGATCTAAATCATACCTTTTGAGATTTGGGAAACTGCACGTCTGACAGATCAAAGTGTTCCAAACAACAACCGGAAGAGCCTTAACCAACTGGTCTTCTTTGATATTCTTGTTTCCACGATCAAAGTGCGAGTGGGCACACGTCGTTCAATCTCCTCTTGGTATTCTTGATCTCCTTCCAATCACAAGAGAGCCAAAGAAAAAATTGTTCTTGAGAATTAAACAATTTTTCCTCTCAGGAATCTTTTATCAATAGCCTCCAAAGAGTCTCTCAAGTGATCTTATGAATAAAGTGACTTAATAGGCTATTTATAGTGTTTAGGAAGTCATACTTCCATAATAATTAGGTTTCCCAAAGTCTTAATCGCATCCAAAGTCAATTTTGTCACGTCAGCATGCATTTTACGATACAACCGATCGACCGGTGATAGAGACGTTATAACTCACCGGTCGACCTGTCTTCACTAACTGGTCGACCGGACCGGTCGACCTGTCTGTACTGACGAAAGTTGTTTTCCTAGTTTTTCAACACGGGAAACTTACATAGAGCCTTAGTTTTGATTTAAGCAACCCAATAAAGAAATTGTCTGAACAAAACAGTCATATAATAGTCTTTTCATATTAAACAACTCTTAAAATAATAATTCAACCAATTTATCTAGAATTAATTTATCAATTAATTCACCCGATAAATCACCCATGAATTAACTTTGAACCTCTTTTACGGAAATAACACAAGTTATCAATGTGTAGGAAATACGCCGCATCGTTACAGAAAATTATGTGAGCTAGCAAAGGGACCCGATGGACATCTATAAATCAAGCTCCTATAATCACAACGCTACTTGTAAACCAACAAGTCCGTCTCATGATTATAAAACTCTAGCGTTATTCCACTAAAAGTCTAGATATGCACTCTCGATTTATATAGCGTATTTACAAAGCTCTGATTAGCTCTAGTCCATGACTCAATATATTAGTGTATCATCCCCATAGGATATCCATAATCGACTTGAGGTCAAGTTCCATTTTACCTTTCCGATTACATTTATCTTATGTTCCATTATCATACCATCAGAAAAATACTATTCGTACCATTACAAACAGTAAACCATTAGATAACACAGAGTAGTCTAATGGCCGAGCGCTCGTATTTTCCAATCCACTGATAATGCATAAGAGGATATCATTGACTCTTTATAGGAGCTATGGATTCCACTATCTATGAATAACGAATCTACGCATACGCGAGTCATACCCCCAATGTATCGGTAATCGTACATTTACATAATATCCTGATGTCTCCCTTTAGTACATCAAATGATACAAGTCAAACATACGGGTTCATCATCCATCTCAGGATTAAGATGACAGCATATAATTCGTCAAAAGTGAATTGTTTTATTCAAACAGAATTATTAATTAAAACAATTCAACTTTGGTCCGATCCAATATAGATTTCACCATTAGAAACTATATCAATGTCTCCACCCATGGAGTCCCACCTCTGACGACCAAGACAAGCCGTCTCCGTTAGGAAGTAGACAACATAACAATCTTAACATGAATAAAGCGCCCAATTTTATTCCCTCGATTGTGGATCATAAGATTTAGACTATCATCTTTAGATTCTTGTCTTCCGCATGTTCTTCACATTACATGCATGACCTAAAGATTTAGAATGACAGTCTCAGACTTTCAGTTTGCTTATCATACATTCAACTATTATGAACATAAAGATGACAATACATAGATATATGAAATAAACAAATCTTTATTAATAGTCAAAATGTCTCAAAGAATATTGTTACATTTATTCCTAAGGGCATAAACGCTAACAGACAAACCTTCAATGTACAAGACAGAGCTAACCCATCAACCGGAAAACTGGAGCGGCAAAGCCCGGCAAAGAGATTCAGAGCTTCATGGTTAAAGCCATTATGAGAGTACTCGAAAAGCAAGTTAGTGGATTTCGAAAAGTCTCTCTTAGGACTTTTCTTGAACAGGTGGTGTGCATTGCAAGAGCTGCAAAATTCTGCAGCTATGGACAACTCTTTGGAACCGTAGGAGATTGAACAAGGACGCGACGGAGATTAAAGCTGAAATGTGAGAACAAATCGCTTCATACTTAGCTTTGAGAGAGTTCTTGATTGAAGAACCATAGTAATGTTGTTGTCTTCTTTGGATTTACGTTAGAAGAGTATTGGTATGTGTTAGAGAGAAGATTGCATCTGTTTTGCAATTATCGAACTCAAAAAGAGAAGATTTGTTGAAGCTTTTGAACATCTACAGACGACGGACTATAATCTGCCAACATACAATAGCAAGAAAGAGACTTAAACCTGCAAATCAGATCTCATAATAAAAAAACCGCCAAAAACTTGCTCCCTCCATCTCTGCAAATCAGATCCGCTGCCGCCACCTCCACATCCCAGCTTTGGCGAGCCCAGGCAAATCCCGCTGCCAACTTCACGGCCAAGCTCTGGCGAGCCTAGGGAATCGCGCTGCCACCTCCGCGGCCGTGATTCTATGAAAATGGCGTCCTAAGTTCGGGGAAGAGAGAGAAACATGGGGAAAGAGATCGGAGAAGAGAGCCAGAGCGAAAGAGAGAGAAAAGGAAAACGGAGAAAATGAAAACTGTCTTAAACCGTTTTCAGATTTTCAGAAAAGGACAAAAACGTTTTTGTTTTTAATTTTTAGAAAATTTTACACCAAACGCGTTTTGTGGAACCATTTTTATTTTTCATTCTCAAAAACTGTGAAAAATGGAAACAAACAGGCCCGTGGTTTTCTTTTCTATTTTGATTTTTTACTTGCTTTTGTGTTTGGTGTGTAACAAAAGTGATGCAGTGTCACTCTTTAAGGAGATGTTTGGTAAGGAGATTCATATCATGATTTATGATTCATTACAGTGTTTTCTCTCATAAAAAATTCATGTAAATCGAAAATGGTTCGAATCTCATAATTTTAATATATGAACCAAATGTCTCCTTAATCGCCGATGTATATTCGGCTTTGTTTTGTAATAATGGAGGTGGCTTTTCACCTTCCGACTCTGGTTGTATTTCCCATTTGATTAAGTTATTTTACCGAGGTGTGGATTTTTTGATCCAGCTATAAGTTTTTCTAGTCATGTTGTTAATGTCCCCTTTATGTGAGGGTTGATGATTTGTCTCTTCAGAGCTTAAAAGCATATTTTAGTGGTAGGAGTTTTTTCAAAATAAAGCCATAGGTGTGTTCGACCTTAATGTGTCGAGGTTTTCTCCCGTTCTTTAATGGGTCGTTAGCCTTGTATTGTGTTTGTTTATCTGTTTTTGTTTTAATGCATAATCCTTTTAAAAAAATAGAAAAACCGTTCAAAAAAAAAAGAAAAGACAAATTGTTCATTCCTAATTTTTCTTTTATCATTTATGAGAAGGATCCAAATTTGTTGTTCAATTTTTGGGGTCCTAATAGATGTTTAACCAATTAAATCATTCAATATCATCTCATCATAAGCATACAAGAGTTAGTTAAAAAGCAATTTAAATTTTTAGATGACGTGATATGATTTGATTAATTAAACACTAATTAAGATATTAAAATTGAACAACAGATTTGAGTCTTTAGACCATCTACAATGCAAATGCTAATACCAATTGTAAATTTGCCATAAAAAAATGTGATATGATATATTATTTTCATTTTTACTCCAATATATAATGTTATTTGAAATGTTAAATATACTTTTTCCTATAATTATTAAGTTTTAAAAGTTGTAAAAATAAACGTTTATATTTAAAATAATAAAAAATGTAAATGTTGCAATAATTATATGAAAAAGTAAACATGACAACCAATAGCAATCAAATGTTAAATTTCTCATATATTATATTTGGTGAGAAATTCACTACAAAGTATAGCATATAAAAAAGACGAGTGATAAATGCAGACTCTATTTGTTGGGAATGGTGTCCTAGAAGCATGAGATGTAATAGGATATTTATTATTTATTTAATAAAAGAGTTTATTCATTATTTTATGTGCATATATTTATGAATATTTTATGAATATCAATGAAAATTCCATGGTTATTTATGTAACCTTAAACATTGTATATAAGTGTTATATACGAGAGGATAATGTTTAAGGATAATAATCAAAAAGCAATGTTCATAATGAATTTAATTAAAGTTCGGAATCTTTAAATTAAAACATTATTAATACATGTCATTCCCATTAAGAATGGAACGGTGTTATCCGCACTGTTAATATAGTGAGATATTGAATGAGTGTTTTTCGCATAATGAGATTATGTGGAACAAGGACACAGACACAATATGAATTTCTAATAATTCCGTTAAGTATAGAAATTCTAATTGAGTTTACCGATGGTCATATATAGGATGATCTTAATCTTGAGTTCTTAACAGACTCCTATTTATGGATTTGTGTCTTTTGATTTACTCGGTACGGATTCTGAGATCCTGAATCCTATTCCTTGTATTTTGGAGACATGATGAAGTAGGTAGCCGGGAATGTTATTACACGAGATAGAATCCATTCTTTCTTAAGAAAAAAGTAGATAAATAATTCTCTTGAGGGTTGATTCGGTACTTGGACCAGTAGGAGCTCCGATTCATGAATGTGTTTTATGAATCACTGTCCATTAGAGAATCAATGGTACTCAAGAATAAAGAAGTAATTAGAAAGGTTAACGAATTTTCCCTTGCTCTAATTATGAATTATTTATGGAGGATTGATCTATATGCAATGACTATATCAAATGGACACTTCACAGTTTAGAAGTAATTTATATCTATAATTTCGAGAGTGCAATTCCAAATTTATAGTGGAGTAACTATTGGAATTAATAGAATTAATTAATT